GCCCACAGTTCCCGCCTCGGGCAATGTCATTGGTCCACAGCTTCAGCTGCGGGTGACGTCATTGGTCCAGTTTCAGCTGTGGGTGACCTCATTGGTCCGTGAGGCCCGCATGGGAACCTTGCAAAAACCTTGGCATCTTCGGGGACTGGTTCCTTCCGGTCGGTTTCCTTACGGAGATGGGGGATGCTAAGGGGAGTGGGGGGAACAGAGAAGCACAGGAGAGCAGGCTTGGACCCCGGCGGCCTTCCTGGCTCTGTCTGGCCCAGCTCTACGGCTGACCGTCACCCCCTTTTACCGGTGAAGATGGCACCCCGAGGCCCAGCGGCCTCCCCGGGGCCCCTCGGCTTGTGGGGAGCGTGAACTGGGGACAGAAGCCCGGAGTGCGGTCCCCAAACCCAGGCTGGTCCCTGAGGGAGGAGCTGCTGACACGAAGGAATGAGGATGTAACCGGTGGGTGGCTCAGAGAGGCATTTTGGGATTAAGGCCGATGATGGTGAAGGATCTTCTTTCCATCCCACCGGGGGAGTGAGGCTTAGAGCTGGGCAGGCCTCAGGCAGGCTCCAGGGTGAAGCCGGGGCCTGGGGGCTCTGGGGCCCACGGGGTGGGACATCCTGGGGCGGGAGAGGGGGATGGAGTCTGGATGAGGTTATCTTTGATGGGTTTTTATTGATCTCAGAGAGAAGGAAGGAGGGACGGACAGAGAGGGAAACACCCAGGAGAGAAAACCATGGATCAGCTGCCTCCTGCACACTCCTCACTAGGGATGGGGTCAGCAAGCCCGGCTTAGGCCCTTGGCCTGAATGGACCCTGGGACCCTTCCGCCTGCAGGCCGAGGCTCTATCCACTGAACCACACCAGCCCGGGCTACAGCGAACCGAGGGAGAGAGAGATAGAGAGAGAGAGAGAGAGAGAGAGAGAGAGAGAGAGAGAGAGAGAGAGGGATCGCGCCACAACTTGGGCCAAACTCCCAAGCCTCGCCCCTCCCTCTGGGCAGGCGTGGGAGATGGCCTGGGGGCGGGGTTCCTGGAGCCTGGGCATGGGGCCACCTCACGTTCTGCCCGAGGAAAGCTGGGCCATGGCCGTGGTGATACCACCACAGCCCTGAGAGTGACACATTGTTTCCAAACAGGCAGTTCTCCCTCCCACGGTCACTCCTCCAAAGCCTCTGCCGATACAATGTGTCCAGGTGGGAGCTGAAATGTAACCGTCTTCGCTTAAAACCCAGTATTTCTACTCAAAACCCAGTGTCTTCACTCAAAATCCAGTGGGTGGGGCGGGGGTCCCGGTGGCCGGAGGCCTGGGGCTGACCAGCCGCCTCCTCCGCACTTTCTGGCGGAGATTTCTCCGAAGAAGCAAGTTCCTTCTGGGGCGGAGACATAAGAGGGCGATCTCGGAGGAAAGGGATTCATTCATTCTTCCTCAAAACACCAGAAAGCAGGCGGGAGGAGGCCTGAGGCACTGGCTCCAAGGATGCAGATTTGCAAACGTGCAGGGGGGAGGGGCTCCGTGCCAGGCTTCTCCTGCCCCCCCTCCCCTCCCTGCCCCAGGCGCGCGGGGGCAGCGGGTCCCCCACTCCGAGCTAAAGCCCCGGACCCTGGCTGGGGTCCCCGCCGCATGGAGCTGGGGTGAAGGGCAGGCTGCTGCGGGCGCTGCGGGCGGGCGGGAGGAGATGGGGGGTCCCCGCGGAGGGCGGGGGGGGGGGGCCTGACCCGGGGCTGCAGCCCGCAGGCTGGAGGCACCGGCACGGCCCGCGGCGCTGAGCTGCGGGGAGCAGACCTGCCAGGTCCGCGCCTCCCGCTCCTCAAGGCTGCGGGGGCCCCCGGAGCCTCCGCCTCCGTAATCGCCGCTGTCAATCAGCCCCGCAGCCGCCCGGAGGCCGGGCACGTCGGGAAGATGCGGGGATTGGGGGGGGGGGGAGGGGATTGGGGGGAGAGGGTAGGGAGGGGGTCGCCCCAGGCCGGGGGAGGGGGGGGAGCGAAGGGAGGAGATTCAGAACCTGTGATAGTGCCCGGATTGGGGGAGGGGGGTACCCGGCGGGGGATGGGGTCCCCCCCATGGCGTTTGTCATCCCAAACCTGTCCCTGCGTCTGTGGGCAACGGTCCCGAACGCCGCAGCCTGGACCGGAGAGCCCACGGGCCTGGGCCCCAGTTCCGCGGCCTCCCCGCCCCCCAAACCCCCCTCGGCCCCGGGACCCCCGCCCCTCCGGTGACCCAGGCCCCGCAGGCCCGGCTCCCCTCCTCGGCTCCCCTGGGGAGGGGTTCCCAGAGGCGCCAGGCCCAGGGCGGGGAGGATGGGAGGGGAGGCAGCGGCATTGCAGGGTCTGGGGAGGGGAGGGAGGGGAGGGAGGAGGTGGGTAGAGGAGCTCCAGGGCCCCCCCACCTCTTGCGCCCCTGAATTGGGAGAAGGTGAGAGCGCCCTCGCCTCTCTCAGAGGCAGCCCAGCGGGAGACGCACCGTTTCGGGGCGGGGGGGCTGAGGGGGGCTGGCTGTGATTCTCAGAACAGCAAGCTCCTGCCCCTCTCCCGGCGTCTTTTCCTGTTTGCCCCATTTCTATGGATTTCAGGGAGGGAGAGAGAGAGAGAGAGAGAAAGAGAGAGACGGAAACATCCACGAGGAGAGAGAATCCTGGACCGGCTGCCCCCTGCACGCCCCCTACCGGGCACCCAGCCCTCAACCCTGCGACCTTCAGCCGCGGAGCCACACCTGGCGGGTGAGGCACGATCCTCCTGCACTGAGATTCTCCAGCCGCCAGCCTGTGGCAGCTGCTGCTGCCGCTGAGGGCGGGCTGGCAGGCTCAGCTGGGACTCAGGAATCTCGGAGCCTCTTCAAGGTCCCAAATGTGGGCACCTCCCGCCCGCCCCCCTTTCCAGCTATCGGCCAGCCCTCCCTGCCCCCACCCCCACCGCACCACCCAGCATACACGTTCCCGGGAAACCTGAGGTTTCAGTGGCAGAGTCCGGAGTTATGTACAAGCCATTGCAGAGGGGCACGCATGGGGGGTGGGGGGAGACCCGGGGGGTACGGGTGAGCACCCCCCCATTCCTATCAAAGCAGACGGTGCAGAACTGGGAGTGGGGTAGACCTCGGCCTCTCCCCCACCCGCACCCACCCCCAGGCAGGCGGGGAGCCCCCGGAATGGGTGGCCTCCCTGCCACCCACTGGCAGTCCATTCAGGCCTTTCCAAATTCAACCCCGCCCCCTGTTGTTCGGAGGGGGGGGGGGGAGAGGAGGGGGGGTGACGCCCGCCTCGCCTCTGAGCAGACACCCTGGAGGCATCTCCCGGGAGTCCATCTGATTGCAGGGAACTGCCTTTTGGGGGGGGGGGGCGGTGAGATCTGGGAACGTGTCCCAGTGGCTGGGCGGGTGGCCCGGCCTAGGCGATGGGTCTTTGCAACTTTCTAGCAAGTGTGGGGCCTCCCGGCCTCCCCCCCACCCTGGTTCCACCAGAGACCCCAGAAGAACCAGGAAAGTCCGGCCCGGCCAGCGCGGCTCAGTGGCTGAGCGTCAGGCGCGGACCTAGGAACCAGGAGGTCACATCACGGGTCAGGGCCCAGGCCTGGTGGCAGGCTCCATCCTCGGTGCTGGACGCGTGAGGGAGGCAGCACATCCCTGCTTCTCTCTCATCACGGGTGCTTTTCTCTCTCTCTCTCCCTCTCCCATCCTCTCCACAATCAATTTTAAATATATATATTTTTAGAAAATTAAAGATAAAAGGAAAGCCCAGACCAACAAGGAGTGCGTTCCGCGGGGATCGCAGCTCCCGGAAACTTGGGGCGCGCGTCGCCAAGAGGGTCCGGGTTTGGGGAGGCGAGGGGGGGGGGCATCTGTACGTGACGGACAGACCCGGAGGGAGAGGAGAGACGGGGCGGCTGCCCCTCTGACTCCCAGAGCGTGAGCGAACCCTGCGTGCCTCCTGGAGCGCAGACCAGCTTGGCCAAGGGCGGGACACTGACTTCCACCTCTGTCTCCCCCCCCGCCCCCCCACACCACCCCCACCCCGCCCTTGGGTGCTGGCCGTGGGCGTGTAGGCTCCTCCCGCTCAGCCCCGCACCCCCACCCGCACCCCCACCCCCTCTCCTCGGCTGCCTTCCCCTCGGCTCCGGCTCCGGCTCCAGCTCCAGCCGCCGCCGAGCTCAGGCAGAGGTCGCCGCTGCCCGCGTTAGACCCGGAGCCTCCTGTCCTGGTCCCCGCCCCAGGCCGGGGCGCGCGGGGAGGGAGAGGGGAAGGGGCGAGGCGCGGGGGGCCCGGGCGGGGGCGCCGCCTCCCCATTGGCCGGCGCCCCGGGTCCCACCCGCGTCCGGAACCCGCGCCCCAAGTCGCTGTCCTCGGCGCGCTCACCCCAGCCCTCCCTGCCCCGCTCCCTCCCCGGCCCCCGCTCCCCGCTCCTCCCCGCCCGCACCGTCCGCCTCGGGGCTGCCCGGGGGCGGCCCTGGCACCGCGGGAGGCGGCGGGAGGCGGAGGGAGAGCCGGAGGCTGCAACTTCGCGCCCCGCACTCGGCGGCGGCGGGGAGCGGGAGGGGCGGGCGGGAGAGGAGCCGGGAGAGCGGAGCCGCTGCGGATCCGGAGCCCTCGGCGCGCGGAGGAGGAGCCGCCGGGAGAGCGAGGCGTCCCGCAGCGGCCACCGCGGCCCGGCGCCCCCGGAGGCCCCTCTGCCCGCCGCCCGCGCCCCGCGCCCGGCCGGTCGGACCCGCTCCCCGGCCGCTGCGCCCTCGCCGCCGCCGCCGCCGCCGCCGCCTCCGCCTCCTCCGCCCCCGCGGAGCCGAGCCCGCGCGCTCCCGGGCGCCGTGTCTCCTCCTCCTCCTCCTCCTCCTCCTCCTGCGGCGGCTCCGGGCGGCTCGGGGGCAGCGGCGGGGCCGGCCGGGGCGCGGGGTCCGGACTCGCAGCCCGGAGGCGGCGGAGGATCGCGCGGGCGGGCGAGCGGACCCCCCTCCGGCCGCGCCCGCCTCCCTCCCGCCGGACCCGGACCCGCGCGGCCGCCGGTCATGCTGCCCAAAGCGGAGGCGCCTGGGGACCAGGGCCAGATGCCGGAGAACATGCAAGGTGAGCGGCCCCGCGGCCCGGCGCCCGGGGGAGAGGGGAGGACCGGTGCCCGGGCGGAGGCCGCCTCCCCGGATGCCAAAGTTTACGGCTCCGGAACCGGGCGAGGCGGGCGCTTTCTCCCCAAGCCGGGCCGCTCGGTTCTGACCGGGAGGAGAGGCGCTCCGAGCCCTCCGGCCCCCGGAGCGGCGGCTCAGGCTGACGGCGGCGGAGGCGGAGGGGAAAGGAGGGCGCCCGGGACCCGGGACCCGTGCGCGCTCAGGTGGGGAGCGCTGTGCTCTGGACAGTCACCGGCAGGAGGAGCGGGGGATCCCGCAGGGCTGGTCTTAGGGGCTGGATGCGGAGGGGCACCCCAAGCCCCGGGTGCGCGCCCCGGGACCCGGGCACGTTGGGCAGAGCGGGCAGAGCCGCGGAGGCCAACGCAGCCCCAGCCCTGGGCTCCGCGCGGGTCGCCCCGGGGAGCTGCTGCGGGGTGGGGAGGCCCGTATCTCTGCCGCCGCCCGGAGCGGGGCGCGGGGTTGTGGGGGGAAGGTGGTCCCCGGCTCCGGGTCGCCCACAAGAACCGCCTCTCGCGGGCCATGTCCTCGCCGTTTCCCCAAGTCGCCAGGCCCGCGGCGGCGGGCAAAGCCCGGGAGGAATTGGCCGCCCGGCCCCGGTCCGGAGGAAACAAGGCGAGGAAGAGCCGCCGGCGCCCCGTCTCCCGGGCGGGAGCGGCGGGGCCGGGCCGGGCGGGACCGGAGCAGAGTCCACCCCGGTCGGCGCCGCGGTCGGCCTCGGGGCTGGCGGTGCCCGCGCCGGGGGACCCTCCCAGGAGCGCTGCAGGGTCCCCGGGGCCGAGGCCCTGAGCCCCACTCGTGGGCGGGCTGCAGGGGACGCGGCTGTCCCCAACAGGCGTTCCCTGCCGGTTTTGGGGTCCCCCGCGCGGTGGGGAAGTGGGGGCGCGGCGTGGAGAGGGCGATCGGGGACCCTCCGCCGCGGGCTGCCGCGAGAAGGAAATTTTGGGGGCGCCCGCGGGGCCCGTGCGGCTGTCCGGGCGCAGCGGGGAGTGTCTGCTCCTGGGCCGGCCTGGCGCGTTCTCGGGACCCGGAGCCCGGGAGGCAGGGGGAGGCTGCGGAGAGCCGGCGGGGGAACCCCGCGGTCCCTGAAGTTAAAGCGGGGCGCCCCCGGAGCCGCCTGGAAGCGCCGCCGCGTCCGCGGGGAGCTTTGGGGACCGGGGACCCCAATCCCCACGTTTGCCCTCCGGTCTCGGCCCGGAATGCGCCCCCGTCCGCGCCGCGGGGAGAACCGGGGGCTGCTGGATCCCCAGACCGCGCCGCGCGCTCCACTTCGGGGGGGCCCTCTCCACGGGCCCCTGAGGCCCCGCCGGACCCGCCGCTCTTCAGAGGGCTCCCGTGCCCACCACGGACCCCCTTTCCCTGTGCCTGGCGGGGCCGCGCCCGATGCGCCCAGGGCGGCCCCGTGTGCCTCCTCTCCCTCCCGCGTTCGCCTTTTCTATTCTAAGGGAGGTCCCCGGGCCCGCCCCGGCCCTCTGGGAGCGGGACCCCCGAGTCCCCTGGACCCCGCGGCCTCCCGGCGCCCCAAAGTCAGAGTTAACTGTGTTGGCGGCCAGGGAGCTGGAGGGAGAGACTTGTGGGAGCCGGCGCGCTCAACTCTCTTCCTCAAAACACGCCTCGAACTGGCAGGGAAGACGCGGAGCCTAAATCCTCCAACCTTCCCGCCCCCCCCCCCAAACCCCTGAACCCCCAGGTCCTCAATTCCGAGGCCCCTGAGGGAGACCCTTTCCCCCCAGTTTCCTCCCAAACCTTGTCTGCCTCCGGCCCCAGCCCCAGCGCCCGCCGGACTCCAAATCCGGGTACGGGGCGCCCACCCCCAACGCAGCAGGGACACCCCCTCCCCAAGGCCCTTGGCTGGGCCCGCAGGCTCCTTGCAGGATTTTTTTTTTTAAAGAACTTTTACTTAAAAGGGAGAAAGAGGGGGGAAAACACCCCAAGAGCGCAAGTCCCGGGCGGGAAGCCCCTGGTGGCGGCGCGGGATCGGCCGGCTGCTCCTCCTTCCTTTTCGGGAAACAAATCAGGAAACTCCTGCGCGCTCCCCCCGGCGGCCCCCATCCCCCCGGCCCCCCCGCCCCCCAAACGCCACTGATTAACCCAAAGCAAACGCGGCGGTGTTTGCGGGGCGGCGGAGCGGAGGTTGAGCAACAACCGGGGACCGGGCGGCGCGCCCCGGGGTCACAGGCCGGAGCGGCCGGAGGGCGCGCGGCCACCCGTGGTCCCCGCCGCGCGGGCCTGGGCGTCTCCACGGGACCGGACCGGACCGGACCGGACCAGGTACCGTCTGGGATGGGAACCCTCGGGCCTCGGACCCGGGGCGCCCGGACCTCGCTGCCCGCGGACGGACGGACGGACGCGTTCGGCAGGCGGGCGGCGGGGCTGCGTCCCGGGGAAGGCGGGCCCGGTCAGCGCCCGGCCGCCCGGTTTCTCGGTTGAACTTCAACCCGGGGCGACCTCAGAGGGGAGATGGCGGGGAAAACCTGTACAGTGAGGACGTTCAGGGCTTAGCTGTGTCTCTCTTCCCTTTTTATGTTACACTGTTGCCTTCAGCGGCTTCCCCGGATCCCCCTTCTCGCTGGCGCAGGCGGGTTTGCAAAAGCGCGGGGTTGAAACAAAGTATCTGGAGCGGAAACAAAGTGTCCAGGGTTCGAAACAAAGTATCCATGGTCGAACCAAAGTCTGGAATTGAAACAAAGTGTCTAAGATTGAAACAAAGTATCCAGGATTGAAACAAAGTATCCAGGATTAAAACAAAGTATTCGGAGTGGAAACTAAGTATCCGGATCGAGAGCGATACCCCAGGCTTCCTCCTCGCCCCAGCCCAGAGCCTGGGGAGCCTGGGGAGCCTCGGGGAAGGGGTTTGGCTGCTCGGATCCCGGCTGAGGCGGGTCGGGGCGGGAGCTGGAGCGTCGCAGCCGCGGGCCTGGTCCTGGGGCCGCTCCTCCCCGTAGCGCCGGCAGCAAACTTCCTCCAGAGCGAGAGGGGGTGCAGCAGGGGGTGCAAAGGTGACAACACTGGGGACTTTGAAAGGCAATTTCAGAGAAACCCGGAGCCTCCGGTTTCTTCCGGTGGCTCCCGCTCCCGGGCTGAGAGGTGGCGGCTTTTGCAGGCTTTTGGGTGCAGAAATGTCTCACAGGAGACCTAGGAGTTGTTTTTAAAAAAATTTAGTATATATATATATATATATATACACTCTTTAAAAAAGATGTTTGGCTTTCTGGCTGCCGCATAGTTCTGGAAGGAACTCCCGGCACAACGTATTTTCACTTTGTCTCTTTCCTCCTGGCGGACTTTGCCCGCCGTTCCCTGCGGGGCCCGGGCCGGGCCGGACGGACGGACGGAGAGCCAGCCGGGGGACTCACGGGCCCGCGCCCCTCTCTCCCTCTTCTCTTCCAGTGTCTCAGTTTAAGATGGTGAGCTACTCCTACGACGAGGACCTGGAGGAGCTGTGCCCCGTGTGCGGAGACAAGGTGTCCGGCTACCACTACGGGCTGCTCACCTGCGAGAGCTGCAAGGTGGGGCCCTCCGAGCCCCAGCAAGCCCCCGCCCCGGGGCGGCTCCTTAAAGCGCCAGGCCGGCTTTTATTTTTATTTAAAACTCTTGGGGGGAAAAAGAGAAAGAAAGAAAGAAAGAAAGAAAGAAAGAAAGAAAGAAAGAAAGAAAGAAAGAAAGAAAGAAAGAAAGAAAGAAAGGGGGAGAGAGAGAGACCATCCCAGATGCGAGATGATCCTTAGAAATATGAGTCTCCTCGAAGTCAGAGGGCGAGCAAATGGATGGTGTTTGGAAAACTTTGCCGCCTCGCACGGCTCCCAGATAGTTTATGACGCTTTTGCTGCCTCCCGGGAGCCTCGGACGGCGGCGACTGGCCCCCCGCCGATCGATCCCGGTGACTTATCTACCGTTAAAGGGCCGCGGCTCTCCGGGGAGCCGTGACGGAGTGGCTTCCAAATACCTTGTAGCTCGCGAGCCGAAGGGCCGGGCATTCATTACCCACAGACATAAACGTCTCCATCCCCAGATTTACTCCCAAAATAATTGTGGGGGAATCCCCGGGAATTTATATCGCGAGGGAGCGCGGGCAGGGTCTTCCCGGCTCCGATAGAGCCGTTTTCATAAATACAGGAGCCGCCTGCGTGGGGGGAGGCGCGGGGCGCAGGTACCAGGCTGTTCCTAGCGGGAATTCTGCAGCATCTTTCCCGTCCACGGATACGCTGTTCTCCACGTTTATTTTTTTTCTTTTCTAAGCGGAGAGCTGGGTACAAGGACTTAAACCCCTGCCAGGAGAAAACAAAAACCCTTGCTTCTCCGTCACAAAGTGGGGTCGTCCGGCTCCGGAGCCCCGTGGCTGTGTGCGCTCTGCAGCCGCATTAATTTCTGAGCGGAACCCCAGGGACCCACTGGGTCCTGGGTGCAGCCTCAGGTCTCGGCTCTCTGCGTGTTCTCGTCCGTTCCATTTTTTTTTCTTTCTCTCTCTCTCTTTCTTTCTTTTTTTTTTTTTTTTTTTTTAAACAGAGTTCTCATACTGGAACGCATTCCAGTGGAATTAGGAACATTTTCCCCATTTTTTTCCCCCCTTCAAATCCCTTTGCTTTTAACGACCTTGTGTTGACATTGGGGAGAGATCTGAGCTGGTCTGAGGGCCAGGTTTTCCACTGGCTTTCTTTCTTTCTTTCTTTCTTTTCTCTTTCTTTTCTTTTTTTTTTTTTTTTCTCGGTCGTCGGTCCCTGGAAGGGTACCAGACGCCCTGAGAACCTGTCTCTGGACTCGGACATGGTGTGGGGTGGGGGAGGGAGGGGAGAAGCCCCGGGCCATCCTGAAGGTGTTGTCCTCTGACCCTCGAGATGGTGTGGATTCAGCCAGAGCTTGCCCTCCCCCCACGAGGGGCTGCCATGGATTGGGGTGTATCCCCCGAGGCCAGCAGAACCGCCCAGGCTTGCGGGGAGGGCGGGCGGCCTCGGGGCCCTGGAAAACAAACCCTCGGACCCGGACCCTCAGAAGGGCCCCGTGGTTCGGGCTCTGAGGAGAGGAGAGGATTCTCGGCGGAGTCCCCCTCCCCCGCCCGGGGGCAGAACTGGGAGAGGGCGGGCGATGGACCCGGACGTGACCCCCCCATGCTCCCCCAGGGCTTCTTCAAGCGCACGGTGCAGAACAACAAGCGCTACACCTGCATCGAGAGCCAGAGCTGCCAGATCGACAAGACCCAGCGCAAGCGCTGCCCCTACTGCCGCTTCCAGAAGTGCCTGAGCGTGGGCATGAAGCTGGAAGGTAGGCCGCCCGCCGGGGACACGTGTCCCCACGCGTGCTCCCGCTGTCCCCACGCGTGCTCCCGGCCGGGGACACGCTGTCCCCACGCGTGCTCCCGGCCGGGGACACGCTGTCCCCACGCGTGCTCCCGGCCGGGGACACGGCTGACCCCACGCGTGCTCCCGGCCGGGGACACGGCTGACCCCACGCGTGCTCCCGGACGGGGACACGGCTGACCCCACGCATGCTCCCGGCCGGGGACACGCTGTCCCATGTTCGAACCCCGCGGACGGGGGTGGCAGACTTCAGCCTGCATCCGCTTCGTGCATAGTCTGTGTTTCATTCTGGCCCTGGTCAAATCCACCCGGAAAAAATAAATAAAGTTCATATCAAGAGCTGTGGCCAAAACCGGTGTGGCTCAGTGGATGCCGGTGAAGGGTCCCGGGTTCGATTCCGGTCAAGGGCATGGACCTTGGTGGCGGGCACATCCCCGGTGGGGGGTGCGCAATAGGCAGCTGGTCGATGATTCTCTCTCATCGATGTTTCTAACTCTCTATCCCTCTCCCTTCCTCTCTGTAAAAAATCAATAAAATATATATTTTTTAAAAAGAGTTGTGTGTCTCGGCCTCCTCCCCCATTTTATTTTTATTTTTTTAAATAAATATATCTTACTGATTTTTTTTTTTCAGAGAGGAAGGGAGAGGGATAGAGAGCTAGAAACATCGATGAGAGAGAAATATCGATCAGCTGCCTCCTGCACACCCCCCACTGGGGATGTGCCCGCAACCAAAGTACATGCCCTTGACCGGAATCGAACCCGGGACCCTTCAGTCTGCAGGGCGACACTCTGTGCACGGAGCCACAGTGGCCCGGGCCCCCTCATTTTTTGTTGTTAGTTTGGGGAGTAGCTGCATTTGCCCCTAAAAATAAAAGCAGGTTCGACGAAAGCAAGACTTCAAGCCATTCAACTGAGAATCAAGGGAAAGAATGCGGGGAAAACTGTTTTTTTAAGTTTTCAAACCAGAAGGTCCTCGTCAACGTTTGACTAGAATCTTTTTTTTTTTCCCCTCTAACTATATTTTTGTTGATTGCAGACGGGAAGAGAGAGAGAGAGAGAGAGAAACATCCACGATGAGAGAGAATCACGGACCGGCTGCCTCCTGCTCGCCCCACCCTGGGGATGGAGCCCGCCACCCAGGCCTGGGCCCTGACCGGGACTCGAACCCGGGACCTCCTGGGTCACAGGTCAGCGCTGCACCCCGGAGCCCTGCCGGCAGAATGGAATTTTTTTGTTAAGTAGCCGTGCTTGCCGTACGTGGACAGGCAATTACGTGATTCCCGCGCGGGATTAACCCCTCATACTTGTCCAAGGGACTCGCTCGGGCCAGGAGTCCTGCTGGATATTGTGGGGAGGCGCTTTTCGAGGTAATGACGGAGCCTGCGGAGTGAAATTGTTTTTTGTGTTTTTCTTTTTAAAAAAAGCGGAGAAGCAGGGAGCATGAAAAACGCTGGACTCCTAGACAGGAGACACGCGCCTGCTTTCTTAAAATGAAAGCCTCCTGACACTTCACAGAGAGAGGGGAGCCGGCAACGTGAACATGTGTCTGCGACACATGATGTGCCGTTTATGTATGTGCTGGCGTGTGGCTGGTCCTTCCTCAGAGGAAGTATGTGGCAGATAAAGGAGCCATACATATCACTGGCATGTATAAGCACTAGTGGTGTGTGTGTGTGTGTGTGTGTGTGTTTAAAAAAAATAGATTTTGCCCTCCCTGGTGTGGCTCAGTGGGCAGAGCATCGGCCTGTGGACTGAAGGGCCCCGGGTTCGATTCCCGTCAAGGCCACAGGCCTGGGTTGCGGTCTCGACCCCCTTGTGCGAGGGCAGGAGGCAGCCGATCCGTGATTCTCTCTCGTCATGGCTGTTTCTATCTCTCTACCCCTCTTTCTTTCTCTCTTCGATCAATAAAGACATTTTAAAAATACGTCTTTTATGATTGGGAGAGGGGGAGGGAGAGAGAGAGAGAGAAGCATCCACATAAGAATGAAACGTCCATCCGTCGGCTGCCTCCTGCACGCCCCCTCCTGGGGATCAGGCCCACACCCTGGGCCTGTGCCCTTGACCAGGAATCGAACCCTGACCCCCTGGTTCAGAGGTCAACGCTCGGCCACCGAGCCACTACGGCCGGGCCTATCTGATTTTCTAAACAAAAGAAAAAGTCCCTTCCCACCAGCACGAAACACTGAATATTCAACGCCCCCCGCCCCCTCGAAAGCCTCCTTGATGCCGTGTTGCGGTCTGAGTGCCCAGCGATCCGCATACATTTTTAATGCCAGCCTAATCCTGAGATAAAAAGCTCAGAGAGCGTCGCCCCCCGGCCATGCCCGCACGTCCGGGCTGTCAGGGCGGCCGGCTGGCTCCTGCCAATCGCCCGGGCCCTGCAGGCCTGGGGGGCGAGGGGGGGACAGCCCGCTCGCCGGATGACAACGCGGCCCAGGCCCCTCCCGGCCCTGGGACGGCGACTGATGGATCGGCTTTCACTCTGCACAGTTTTGCTTAAAAAAAAAAAAAAAAAAAAACAGAAACGATGGCCGGTGGCGATCGGATGGGCGTTCGTTCGTCCAGTCCGGGTGGAAATCGTTATTTTCGTTTTCCCTAAAGAAAAGGATGTCCCGGCCGGTCTGGGCCGCGGGGCCAGCGGGGCTGAGGAGCAGGACGGGGCTCTGAGAGCAGACGGTCCCAGGGTAATCGCTGGAGACTTTGTTCGCTGGAGACTTTGTTCGCTGGAGACTTTGTTCGCTGGAGACTTTGTTGCTCTCTCGGAGCTTCGATTCCGGTAAAGAGCAACAATGTAACGGGGGGCGTGAGAGACAGCGCCGGCCGCTCTTAGGACAAACACAGACTCTCCTCTGAGCGAGACAGGGCGGCCGGGGGTGTGGCCGCCATCATCAGGACATCTTCCCCGTCCAGCACGGGGGAGATTTTTTTCTTTTTTTTTAATTTTTTTTAAATTTCATTGATTTTTCTTTCTTTTTTTAATATATTTTTATTGATATTTTACAGAGAGGAAGGGAGAGAGACAGAGAGCTAGAAACGTCAATGAGAGAGAGAAACATCGACCAGCCGCCTCCTGCACACCCCCTACCGGGGATGTGCCCGCAACCAATGTACACGCCCTTGGCCGGAGTCGAACCCGGGACCTTTCAGTCCGCAGGCCGACGCTCTATCCACTGAGCCACACCGGTTTCGGCGATTTCATTGATTTTTCACAGAGAGGAAGGGAGAGAGAGGGACAGAGAGGTAGAAACATCGATGAGAGAGAGACACCCATCAGCTGCCTCCTGCACGCGCCCCCTCCCCCTTACCGGGGATGTGCCCACAACCAAGGTCCAAGCCCTCGACCCGGGGGGAATGGAACCCGGGACACCCTTCCGTCTTGCAGGCCGGGGTGGGGCGGGGGTGGCGCTACCCACTGAGCCACACCGGCCAGAGCCCGACGAGACTGGTTGATTCTTGTGTATGTGGCCCGACCCCGGCTCCCCGAGCCAGGCAGGGCCCCCCGCTTCCCCGCCCCCCGTCGTGCCTCTCTCCGCTCACGCCCGCCTCTCCCTCCCCTCCAGCGGTGCGCGCCGACCGCATGCGGGGCGGCAGGAACAAGTTCGGGCCCATGTACAAGCGGGACCGCGCGCTGAAGCAGCAGAAGAAGGCGCTGATCCGGGCCAACGGGCTGAAGCTGGAGGCCATGTCGCAGGCGATCCAGGCCATGCCGCCCGAGCTGGGCCTGTCGCCCGCTGCCCTGCAGAGCCTCCACTCGGCAGCCTCGAAGGGGCTGCCGCTGAGCCACGCCGGCCTGCCGCCCACGGACTACGACCGCAGCCCCTTCGTCACGTCCCCGGTCAGCATGGCCCTGCCGCCCCACGGCCACGGCCACGGCCACGGCGCCGGCCACGGGGGCCACGGGGGCCACGGCGCCGGCCACGGCGGCCTCCAGGGCTACCCGCCCTACGGCCCCTTCCCCAGCCGGGCCATCAAGTCCGAGTACCCGGACCCCTACGGCAGCTCGCCCGAGTCGCTGCTGGGCTGCCCCTACGTGGACGGCTGCGCGGCCGGCTCCCCGGCCGGCGTGCCGCACCTCATCCTGGAACTGCTGCGCTGCGAGCCCGACGAGCCGCAGGTGCGCGCGCGCATCGCCGCCCACCTGCAGCAGGAGCAGGAGCAGGCCGGCCGCGGCCGGCTGGAGCGGCTCAGCACCTTCGGGCTCCTCTGCAAGATGGCCGACCAGACGCTCTTCTCCATCGTGGAGTGGGCGCGCAGCAGCGTGTTCTTCCGGGAGCTCAAGGTGCGTGTCCCCGTCCCTCCGTCCCCTCCGTCCGCTCTGCCCGCCGTCCCCCCCCCCCCGATGGCACCCCGGCTCTGTCTGCTCTGACAGTCCGCCCCCTGTCCCCCCAATAGCACCCCGTCCGCTCTGTCCACCCCCGTCCCCCTGACGGCACCCGGCTCCTGTCCGCTCTGTCCACCCCCGTCCCCCTGACGGCGCCCCGGCTCCCCGTCTGCTGTCTGTCCGCCCCCCGTCCCCCCCCCCCCGCCCCCGACAGCACCCGGCTCCCCGTCCGCTCTGTCCACCCCCGTCCCCCCGACAGCACCCGGCTCCCCGTCCGCTCTGTCCACCCCCGTCCCCCTGACGGCGCCCCGGCTCCCCGTCTGCTGTCTGTCCGCCCCCCGTCCCCGCCCCCCCCCCCCCCCGACAGCACCCGGCTCCCCGTCCGCTCTGTCCGCCGTGCCCACCCCCGATGGCACCCCGGCTCTGTCTGCTCTGACAGTCTGCCCCCTGTCCCCCCAATGGCACCCCGTCCGCTCTGTCCACCCCCGTCCCCCTGACGGCGCCCCGGCTCCCCGTCTGCTGTCTGTCCGCCCCCCGTTCCCCCCCCCCGCCCGACAGCATCCGGCTCCCCGTCCGCTCTGTCCGCCCGCCCGCCGGACACTCACGCGTGGGGCTCTGTCCTGGTCCGTCTGGTTGTCCATCTGCGGTGCGGTGGGTGTCGTGTGGAAAAGGAGCAGGGAGGACCCGAGGGCCTGGCCCTGGGGTCAGCAAACTGCGGCTCAGGAGCCACCGGCGGCTCTCGGGCCCCCGGAGGGCGGCTCTTCCACAGAACACCAGGGCCCGGGCCCGTCCGTGTGGAAGACGTGGCGTCCGGAGACGTTTCCGTGTAAACAACGTGGCTCTCCGGAGACGTGTCCGCCGTGGTGCTGTGGACAGTGGGCTCCGTGGATGCAGGCGTGTGCCGGCCACGGGGCCGACCTGGGTGGATGGGGCTCCTGGTTGGCGGGAATTGGCGGTTCAGGCCGAGCTCGGGAGACGGGGTTTCCCATCCTGGCTCGGGGTTCCCTCTCCTCTGGGTTGTTTTTGGGGTTCGCGTCTGGTCTGGCCAGCTTTGTGAGGACGTGTGACCCAGTCGTGTGCTCTCTTATACAAGGCCGTTCCCGACTGGGGGGACGGGACGGGGTTTGGGGGGTGGGATGGGGTTTGGGGGGACAGGACGGAGTTTGGTGGGGAGGGGAGCCAGCATCGCGTGGTGTTCAGACCTCAGAGAACCAAGTGCCGTCGGTATTTACTGCCTGTTGGCCTTGCCTTGGGGCCGGCCCTGCGGGGAGGGCTGCTGTGTCTGGGGGGGCTGCGGGGGTCCGAGGTCGGGGGTCGGGGTCGGGCAGCGGCGAGGGCCCGTCTAGTCTGCTTGGCAGGCCCCGGGCCCCCCGCGCTCTGGCCGCGGTGAGGCTAATGGATTGCTACACGGTAAACAGCGGCCTGTTTGCCTAAGGATCTGAGTGTAACGACGGCTGATTATTTTATTTCCTGAGGCCCCGGCCGGGCTCACGGGGGATTGGGGGGGGGAGCGTTCTGTGGGCGCCCTCGGCCGCCCCCCGCCCAGCCCCAGCCCCAGGCGGCCTCCTTCTCCGTTTCAAACACAAACAGGCACCCCAGCCGGGACCGGACGGCCGAGTGTGTCTGACACAAACAGCCTCTTCCTCTCTCCGCGCGCCGCCGAGCGCCCAGGGGAGGGGGCAGCGCGACGGTCACACCCGCGCGGGGACCGTGGGAATGGCCCCGGCCGGTGTGGCTCAGTGGGTAGAGCGTCAGCCCACGGACTGAAGGGCCCCGGGTTCGATGCCTGGTCAAGGGCACGGACCGGCCTCAGTGCAGGCTCGATGCGTGGCCCCGACCCAACCCGTCAACGCGTCTCTCTCACGTCGATGTCTCTCGCTCTCTCTGTCTCTGTCTCTCCCTTCCGCTCCCTCTAAAAATCACAGGGACATCTCCTGGGGGGGGGGGAGGATTAACAAAACAAAACAAGAAAAGAAACAGCCGACACCAGTGTGGCTCAGTGGATAGAGCGTCGGCCTGCGGACTGGAGGGTCCCGGGTTCGATTCCCGTCAGGGGCATGGACTTTGGTTGCAGGCACAGCCCCTTTGGGGGGCGTGCAGGAGGCAGCTGGTGGATGTTTCTCTGTCATCGATGTTTCTCTCTCTCTCTCTTCCTCTCTGTAAAAAAAAATCAATAAAATATATTTTTTAAAGTTTAAGAAAAGAAAAAAAAAAGATGCTGAAACAGACCCGCAGGGAGAGCAACGGTGCCTCTCGGTTTCCTGTTTCCTAAGGGGGGATGTGAGAGAGGAGACAGGTACACGGAGCCGCAGGTGGGGGCCAGGGGATGCTGGGAGAACTCCTGGGGCCAGGGGGATGCTGGGAGAACTCCTGGGGACAGGGGGCTGCTGGGAGAACTCCTGGGGCCAGGGGGCTGTTGGGAGAACCCCTGGGGCCAGGGGGATGCTGGGAGAACACTCCTGGCTCTCCAGATCAGCTCCCTTTGGCTTCCCCGCGATAAACCTCTGAGAGGTCCTTTTATGGAGCCCGCGGGTTAATTTTTGGCTAAAACAGAAACACCTGCGGGAAGGGCCTGTGAAAGGGCCATTCGTCACCGGTGCCCTGTGGGAGGCATGGGTCTGTCTTCCACGGGATTTGGAAAGGCGAAGGCGGCCTCGGCTCGTATGGCTCAGTGGGTAGCGCGCTGGGGCCGGGTTTGATTCCGGTCGAGGGCACGTGCCCGGGTTGGGGGGCTCGATCCCCAGTGAGGGGGTGTGCAGGGGGGGCAGCCGCCGATCCATGACGCTCTCTCTCTCATCACGGGTGTTTCTCTCTCCCTTCCTCTCTGACATCAATGCAAACATTACATGAGGATCAATAAGAAATCGATAAGAGGCCAGGGGCTCTCCTCGGCCTTGGCCTCGCCCGCCTCTGGCTCTCGGGACAGCAGGGACTCCTGTTCTGGCGGAGGAAGGAGGGTTCGGGTCACTCGTAGTTAAATATAGAGCCAGGGAGGAATTCCTCTTCCTTTTGTTTACGGGACTTTGTCAGGCAGCAGGGCAGTGGGCAGGCTGAGGCCCGCCCGCCCCCTGCCTTTTACCGGGACCTGCGCTGGGAATGGGGTTTTGAACCAGAACTTGGGGACCAAGTGTGTCTGTCTGTCTCTCTCTCTCTCTCTCTCTCTCTCTCTCTCTCTCTCTCGGAACCAGTTTCCCGGTATTTGCTCTGCACTTGGGCACTTCCTATTGTATTCTGCGGGAGTCTGGTTTATTTCATATTTTTTTAAAAATGCCTGGTTCTGACTCACTAAATTGATTTGATGACACACACACACACACACACACACACACAGACACTCACACACACACACAGATACACACACACACACATACACACACACCCGCCCTCCACCCTCAGGACAGGACCTGTAAGAGGCTGCCTCCTCCTCCTCCACCTCCTCCTCCTCCCTGCGGCCAGGCCTCCCAGACACACACACACACACAATGACACACACACTGACAATGTCACACACACAGAGACACACACACACACACACTGACAATGTCACACACACAGAGACACACACAGAGACACACACACAATCACACACACACACACTGACACACACTGACAATCTCACACACTCACAATCTCACACACACACACAATCACACACACACACAGAGACACACACACACACTGACACACACTGACAATCTCACACACACACTGACAATCTCACACACACACACACACACACACACGCACACACACACACACACACACACGCACCCCCGCCCGCCGCCCCCTCGCTAATGAGCCCGGTCCATCGGATCTGCTAACAGCCGGGGGTCCTCGGGGGGTTCTGGGAACCGAGCGCGGAGACGGAGGAATAAACAGAAACGCGGGTTAATCCGGCTGAGGCGGCCGGGAAGGCGGGGGAGACGCTGCGGCCGGAGGGATCCGGGTCCCAGCCGGCTCCCCTCGGAGGGGGTGCGGGGGGGGGCGGACGGGGCTGGAAAAGGAGCCTCCTTTTTCCTGGTCCTTTAGCCACGCTTTCCGAGCGACTTCCCCAGACTGGGACCCGGCGTCTCCGGCGCGATTCGCCCCGGAAGGCTGTTCGAAAAGCGAACCGTGTTTGTGTGTGTGTTTTTCCATCAGAAATCATGTAAACGGAAGGACTCCGTGCCAGACCCCGACAGAACATCCCCTATTTTATTCCATTTTATTTTTTAAAATATATTCTATTGATCTTTTACAGAGAGGAAGGGAGAGGGAGAGAGAGTTAGGAACATCGATAAGAGAGAAACATCCATCAGCTGCCTCCTGCACGCCCTCCCACTGGGGATGTGCCCGCAACCGAGGTCCATGCCCTTGACCGGAATCGAACCCGGGACCCTTCAGCCTGCAGGCCGACGCTCTATCCACTGAGCCACACCGGTTTCGGCGATGACCCCCTATTTTAACCGTCCTTCTCTGCACAGCACGGTCTCTCCTGCGGTCTGATCTGTCCACACACACACACGTTAGAAACAAAGGCACGAAGTGCCAATGAAAAGGCGACGGACAGTTAAAAAGACGGGAATTTTCAATCGTTATAAGCAGCCGCAAAACAAATAAAAATAAATAAAAAATAACGGGGAAAGAGTCCCAGCCCGATCACCGAGACTCCATCGGCCGTAACGGACTCGGACCCGGGCCTTCCGTCCTCTGTCCCCCGAGGGACGAGTGAGGGGTCCGTCAGGGGGAGAAGCCAATTGTTCGAGGAACGCGGTTCCCCTGTGTTTCTTAAAAAATGTTTTTATTGATGTCAGAGAGGAAGGGAGAGGGAGAGAGACGGAAACATCCGCGATGAGAGAGAACCACGGACCGGCTGCCTCCTGCACGCCCCCCACTGGGGGCACGGGCCTGACCGGGAATCGAACCCTGACCCCTGGGTTCCTAGGCTGATGCTCCACCCCTGAGCCTCCGGGAAGGGT